GTTGTACATGCCCTCAGAAGAGTTCTTCCTGGGCCGAATTAGTTGGAGGTGAGCAATTCAATGGGCTCCTCAGAAGAGTTCTTCCTGGGCCGAATTAGTTGGAGGTTGAGCAATTCAATGGGCTTTTGACAAATAATTTGGCCGGCATGCTTATACGAAGTCAACCTTGGGGAGTTGGGGTTCGTAAACGTGTACTCCTAATCACCATCAGTCCATGCGGTGCGGCGTAACCAACTACCAGTCTACCACTACCACCACCCTCCCCTCGTAAGCCACCTGACAGCTGAGCCCCACCTCGAGCGCTCGCTGCCTGCCAGTCTACCACCACTCCTCCCACCCACACATGGATTTCTCCGGTGGCGGCGGCGGCCGCAGCCGCCCCGAGCCGGCCCGGTGGCTGGAGATCGCCGGGAAGCTCCTCGCCGCGCGGGACCTGGTCGGCTGCAAGCGACTGGCGGAGCGCGCGGTGGAGGCTGACCCGGACCTCCCGGGTGCGGACGAGCTCCTCGCCGTCGCCGACGTCCTCCTCGCCTCCCAGCGCCTGCTCCCCTCTGGCCGCCCCGATCCGGTCGCCGTGCTCCAGCTCCTGCCCGCCCCCGGCCTTGACCCCGCCGCCGCCAAGCGCTCCTTCCACCGCCTCTCGCAGCTCGTGTCTTCCCCGCGTAACCCCCGTCCCGCCGCGGACACCGCCCTCCACTTCATCCAAGAAGCCTTCGCTGACCTCTCCAACAACGCATCCGCTGATCCACCGCCTGCTCCTGCTGCCGCTCCTCCTCCTATTCCTGCTCCTGCTCCTGCTCCAGCTCCTGCTGCCGCTCCTCCTCCTATTCCTGCCCCTGCTCCTGCTTCTGGGGACGCCTCGGCCTCGGCTGATGCCGATGCGTTCTGGACGGTGTGCCCCTACTGCTGCCATGTGTACCAGTACCAGCGCGCGCTGGTGGGGCGCGCGCTCAGGTGCCAGAGCGCCGGGTGCAGGCGAGCGTTCGTGGCCACCGAGATCCCTAACGCCCCGCCTATTGTGCCCGGCACCGACATGTACTACTGCGCGTGGGGGTTCTTCCCCATGGGTTTCCCTAAGGCAGCCGATTTGAGCACCAACTGGAGGCCATTTTGCCCCATGTTTCCTGGGAATTCTGAATCTCCGCCGCAGCCAGCACCTGCGGTGACTGTGAATGTTGATGTGCAGAATGTTGAGAATAATGGCGGTGCTGATGTACAAAATGTTGAGAATAATGGCGGACCCATTAACGCCAATTCAACGCCAGCAAGTGTGCAGCCCCCAGATAAGAGTGGTGACACTGGCCGTGCAGCAGGTCCATCTAGAGGAAGGATGAAGAAGACAACAGCCCGCAAGAAGGTTGGTGCTGTGCCCAAGAAGCAAGGTTCCAGTAGCATGGGAAGTGGCATTGGGCCATCTATGCTTGGGGCAGATTCGTTGAATGGGGATGCAAGAAGCGGGCAGACAGTGGGTACTAGAGAGATCAACATAAATGAGGTGGCAAAGCCAACTGATAGCGCCACAATGCTGAATTTTGGCGGGGATGAGGATATCGGGTTTGATTTGGATGTTGATGCAACTGATGCTATATTGGGGAATTTGCACAACCTACCATTCTTGAGGGAGGATGACAATAACAGAAGGATGTTTTAGTTGTCAATGTGCTCAGCGTAGGTGTTTGTAGAAGTGGTGTGTATCATATGGTTGAAGGAATTCCTACTTAGTCTGATCCTTCACTACTAGCCTTGGTTCCATTGCCACCCTTTCTCATATTGATTCTGTGTTCTGTAGTTAGCTAGTGATCTGCTGTACTGTCTGGGTCAGTGCACTTTACAAATCTGTAGAGTAGAGTATCCCAAATTAGTTGGGGTACGAGTAATATGTGCCATCCACTGATTAGCATAAGGAGGTAACTGATGAATGGAGCAATGCACTCGGCATGGATGATTGGTGAGGCTTTTAGTTTTTATAAGGGTTACGATGCAACAGAGGTCATATGGAGCACTAGCAGATAAATGCCATTTACAACAGTAAGTTTGTTCTTCTTAATGTGCATAAATACCTCCTTTATTTAGAAGGGACATCTTAGTGATTTCATGGACTCATAATGTATTGACTAGATTCTCATTATTCAATACCAAACAAGTTGTGTGTAATGCTTTTAGTTTTCTGATACATACCTTTACCCTTGGATATAAAATAGTGACCTATACTCAATAAAACACCTGCATTGTCATTGTCATAATCATGCTGTTTTCGTTATTATTTGTTCATCTAACCATATTCCAACTTGTTACCTGCTTACCGAGAAGAAAATGGTCATGAATGCTTGATAGAATGTAGTATTATTCTTAAAAAAAATCAGAAATTGCACTTGACAAGGATTCATGACCATTTTCTTCTCGGTAAGCAGTCATTTAGTTCAACTTGATTAAATAGGATAAACAGTCATTTAGTTCACCATTTGGTCAATAGGAGGATTACATCTACCACATTGGCACCCAGCTAATTTACATCATAAAAATATGAGGTGAGGTGAGATTTAGTTTCCTTCCGCAAAAAAAATATTTGCTACTTTTTACAAGCATAGATATTTATACTTTTTAGCATAGCTGACTTTTACATACATAGATATGTATATTCAGTGTTATTACACAAAACCGTTTAGGCTGTTAACTCCATTTGAGCACTGTCTAAACACTAAACGTAGGGTGACCGACTGTTTACCGTTTAGGATAATACTGATTGTAAGCATATGTTGAATGCATTATCATACTCTGTCTGCATTATCTGCATGGAACAAGAAAAAAATAATCATGTTTACTGCAAGTTGTGTTCTTTTCTGCTAATAACATTGAGAAGTTTAATAGAAAATAGTAAAACCTTCTAGCAATATACTTTTTCTAGCAGATGATTGAAATTGCAGCAAAACTTGCTAAAGTGTGTGGCATAACTGTACCAGCCTGTGTAGTATCTACTGGATTCCAACATATTAGCTTTAAGTGCTTTACATTAGTTATGAAGAGGCCACTCTGCAACTGTGATGTGTGCTCTCTTAGACAAAGGGGGTGATTAGATACTTTGTGGTACAGTCACTTAGGTGTAACTTTTTTTTATTGTATGCATGATCCACATCTCCCAATTGCAACTGCTATATAATGTCTCATCCTCGTGTGAATGCCTAATTTACACTTGTGTTTATGTTCTCTTGTTTCAGATATCTCGATCAAAAACTCTATTCATCAGTTGATTGCCTTCACTAGTCATCGAAGGAGCTGAATAAGCGAAGTGGTATGGCCGTATGGGCGAATGGCTCAGTTTAGGAGACATCAGTGGCTAGTAACCTATAATTCTTTCTTTGTTGTTTGCCATATGCTAAGCTATTGATTTCCTTACCTGAACTAAATGAGATTTGTATGTGCCAAATTTTCCATTGTAAGCGGAAAATAGTAACGGTGGCTGGCAGCTACAATATTTATTTGTTAACCGTATTAACTGTAGTCATCACGAGCTCCATGACCTCAAATCGTTATATGTTTTCGTTTCGTAAAAAAGAAAAGGTTATATATTTTCTTGTTGCCGGGACACAGATAATTTTACACGACGTGGTAACTATTTGTATATTGGATTTATGAATTTCAGCTACAGAAGCAAGGATATAAATAAGAAAAAGCTCCAAATTCCATATGTGCTATTTGATAAAATGCCCCAGGGAATGCCGAAGAGTTTTTGTGTTCATCCTTAAAGCCTGTTTCTTCGTTTTCTTTTTTTTTTATCAATAATTTCTTGGTTTTCTGAGTTATCATTTGACGCTTGCTTGTTTCAAATTAATATATTTTTGAACTAACCATAATATCAATATACTCCCTTTGTCTAAAAACTAAACGTACCTTTCACTTTTCAAAGAGCCAAGCCATTTTAAGTTTAATTAAATTTATAGAAAAATATTATTTATATCTTATTATAAATATATTTAACTATTAATCTAATACTTCTAGTTTCAAACTTTCTTATATTTTTACCATATTTGTAGAAAAATAATGTTAATATTTATATTTCTAAATAGGTTTACTATGAAAATATATTTTATAATTAATTTGATGATATTTATTTAGCCTTATAAATATTAGTATTTTTGTATAAATTTGATTAAACTTAAATTTGGTCGACTTCTAGAATTATGTAGTATATAGTTCTAGAATTATATATATTTTTGGATGTAGGGCTTTTCTATATCTTCAATTAAATTTAAAATATTTTGACTAAGACTGTGTTTAGTTTAGTTCGCGAAATAAAAAAATTTTAATGTCACATCGGATGTTTCCGGGATGTCGGAAGGGGTATTCGGATACTAATAAAAAACTAATTACATAGCTCGTCTGGAAACCGGGAGACGAATTTATTAAGCCTAATTAATCCATCATTAGCGTATGTTAGTTACTGTAGTACTTATGGTTAATCATGGACTAAGTAGTCTTAAAACATTCGTCTCGCGATTTCCAACCAAATTATGCAATTAGTTTTTTTTTTCGTCTATATTTAATACTCCATACGTATGTCGCAAGATTCGATGTGATAGTTTGGGATGAAAATTTTTGGAAATCTCACTCACGTGCATTTTTCACGGACTAAGGGAATATTATCGTATCGTACCAGCCTACCAGGCGTTGCGGACTCCGGCACTCCGCGTCTCCGGCGACCCCTGCTTTCGCGCCGCAGCTCCAAATCTTCTCCCCGCCGCTATTCCGCCTGCCGGCGGCCGCAGCCCAGCCTGGATCGTACCCTCCGAGCGACGCCCCGGCGGCCGCATCCAAATTCCCCCTCCCGCAGATAACTGAAGCAGTCAGTCGAGCGGCGCGTCCACGGTGGCGGCGGAGGCCACGTGCGAGGCTGCGGCGTATTGTGTAACTTCTTCCTCGTTTCGGCGGCATCCGCTCGCCGCCGGTGCGCATAGAGGCACACTCCGCCGAGGAGCGGCACGAGGAGAGACGACCGGTGCGGGATGGGGTCGGCGTTGCTGTCGACGCTGCGGCTGAAGAGTGAGGTGGACACCGCCATCCGCGACACCCTCGACAAGGTCCTCGTCCTCCGATTTGGTCGCGCCACCGACGCTGCCTGCCTCCACCTAGATGACATCGTGAGTGCCCTCTCTCCTATCCCTCAGCAGCCCCTCCATGTGGGCTATTGTTGAGCTGAGCGATCCTCGGGCCTTTCATCCCCTCGCACGAACCTCATGCTCCCTTCCCGTTTTGCCATCGTACCTGTAGCCTGGGTCCGCTCTGCAATTTTGAATTGAATCGGTGGTGGTTAATTTTGAGATTGGCTGGTTGTTGCTGTTTGCGAGGATGTGGTATTATTGTCTACTGTATTAGTTTTTTTTTTCTAACGCAATGGCAGGATCTCTGTCTTTCATCAATTAAGCCCTTGTTTAGTTTCACACTAAATTTCCAAAAAGTGCTACACTACCTGTCACATCGAATGTTTGCGGTCTATGCATGGAACATTAAATGTAGACGAAAAAAAAACTAATTGCACAGTTTGGTGGAAAATTGCGAGACGAACGTTTTGAGCCTAATTAATCCATATTTGAACACTAATTGCCAAATAAAAACGAACGTGCTACAGTAACCCCAAATTCCAAATTCCTGAAACTAAACACGCGCTAAGAAAAAAAAATGACCCAGTTTATAACGGAAACCAGTCATGAAAACCTTTCAATCACACAATTTTTTAAAGGAAAACTGACAAAAACCTAAACACGACAAACTAGATGGCTAACACTGAGCAACCCATCTACGCACAAAGGTGACACACAACCGATGGAGCCCACCGCACGTCATCGTTTTGGAGCTTATCACAAGCCAGTGATAAGGAGCTCTAACTTCCCATGGGAAATAGCAGCCGAAGTCCCCAACATGCCGCCACTCGCAACAAGCCGCGACCTCCATAGAAAAAGAATAGTGTGTTATCGTTCAAGCTTTGTTGCATACCACAACCAAAGCAGCTCCGACTTCAACACTGCACATCCACTCTAGGAGAACTAGAGACACGTCACAAGAAGGAAGCAAACTAGAGTGTCGCACTGATAGTGGTCTCTCACGGTGTGAAAATGGAATTAATAACTTGGTATGCAAAACCCTGCAAATCTATTATTTTGACCATAGGAAGTGTCATTAAGGTTCTTTTTTCTGTATTCTAAATTACCATCTGTTAAATCTGTGGAGGCCAACAAAAGGAAGGGGGACACATCCTTATTAGTGATAGTCTAACACCCAACACCTTCAATCACATTTTGTTGAGTATTATAGTATGTATACATGCTGCTAAGGAGGCTTTTCGTTCACATCATTTCCATAGGTTAAGTATATGCCTCTGCATGTCTGTGAAATTTTCTGATTCATTGTGTCTTAACAGCGGGCCAGATCTTCTTGGGACATATCCAAGTTCACATCATTTACAGTAATGGGCTTTTTCCAGGTGAGATTCACCATGGCCATGTAATCCCTGCAAGGATTGGCATGCAAATGTGAATCCGGGATTAAAAAGGATGACATTTTAAATGTAGCCACTATTAGTTTAATTCAAGAATATGTAATGCCAATAGAAGGGGGCTATGAGAATATTTGATAGCCACAATCAGTTTAATTCAAGAGTATGTAATGCCTATAGGAAGCTATGAGAAACGATAGAGGCTATAAAATGAGCACATACGGTGCAAGTAGTAGTGATCAGTATGGATCCCCAAAGAAACAATTATAGCAAGAAAAGTGAGAATCAATATATTGGAAAGTAGGATGGTCTGGTTTGTTTAGAGATAGGTTGCATGAGGAACACGTACGTAAAGTCACAAAAAATAAAAACAGATGACAATGTCTGAGTATAAAGCAAAGTGGGTAATTATAGCACAACTTTTTTAAGTTTCAAATGTAAAGTTGTCATGCAAAGTAGAAGGTGATAGTGGAGGGCAATTCTCTTTATGGCTGAGCTACTTGAACAGTCCGGTGGAAATGAGACATATATAGTAAAGTATAATCATCTTCTTCGTTGTGCAATATGCATAGTGTATGCCTGTTATCTTAGCTCTACAGATGACAAATTTGGGAATAACACGGTAGCAACAGGGGGCATGGGTTCAGTGGCATACCAGAGGCTTAGGTAGCCCTGAGCTGGTGATCATTGCATTGAAAAGAAACTGAAGCTTGACTCTGAACTGGAGGCAACATTGAGGAATCTGACATTGTGTTCATATTTAAGGCTGTTCTCAAAGATTTGGGTTGTACAGAGTACAAAAAAAAAATTTAATTTCAGACCAGGTTATCATTTAGTACCATATATTGCAAAAGTAAAAAAAAAACTTTTTAACACACTGTATGCATGCCTTGGCATATATACTTTGGCATTTGGACCTGTAAAGGTGCATGGATCATGTTAACTCTGTTTTCAGTATTTTGTAAGCAACTGTGCATGTATGCAGATAAGCTGACCCAGAACATTCTATAATGGAAAAGGATCATTCACAACAAAAGCAATTAAGGTCTAAGTAATATAATATCGCTAGAGGCTAAATAAATTAACTGCAGAATTTTGCTGCAGGAAATTTTCAGTAAGGCTGCATCGTTTTCTTTTAAGATTTTCTTGAACAAAGTTTTCTTGTCAACATTAACATGGAATCTATTAAGCGAATGAAGGCAAAATTAACAGCTTGTAGCTTCCAATTGTACGGACAAAAAAGGAGGCATGAACATTATGTAGCATTGTAGCGTGATAAGTAAATAGAACAGCTCAAGCCGAAAGCAGGTGCAAATAAGCAATACTACATTCATTAGAACATCAGCAATCCTTAACATTCCATAATGCCTTATTAGGCTTCTGTATTGATACAGCAGAACATATTTTTTATCTATATATTAAAGAACAAATTAGCAGCAGCAGCAGCTCCCAAACTAATGTGATAGCCTGAAAAATCAAAGATGTACCGAACAAAGTAATAAGGAAATTGCGAGAAAAATGTAAGGGGACTAATTTTACAAAAAGGAACGATAATAACTGCGATTAATATAGAAGACACACAATTTGTGGGCAGAATATATATTCGGAGTCCTACAATTATAAAGGTTTCAGACAATTATTTGCATATATGAATCGCATCTGATTAGAAACCACTATCCCTATGGTAATACAAAGTGGTCAGACTTCTCCAAATTATAGTTTATGATATTAATCTTTCTAGGGTCAAGAATACTAATTTCACTGAAGCCAACAACTAAATTGGATACCAAGCTGAATAGGTAAAGAATAGAAGAATGGAGTGAGCAGAATACACATGCGGGAGTCTTCCCCTTTACTACTTGAATTCCTATAAGTGTCAACGTACATGAATCAGGGAAGAGCAGGATGCACTTGACAGATAAGAACATATTTAAGTGGGTTTTCCTCTACAGAGATAAAATTTTATTATGCCATCATCACCAAGCAATACAAATCATGGGTACGTATTGGTATCAATAGCGAGACATCGAAGAGAACATACGTACATGAGCAGTGACAAATCTGTATCAGCATTAAGTAGGTACACCCATTGCTCACAACGTTATCTGACCAAAATAACTTATTTAGAGCAAGAGAAAAATTAATTGAATGGCAGTGCGATAAACATACATCGATGATAGTCTGTCTACAAAATACGTATACATGAATGAAGCTGGTTAAAACTTGAATTCGAATCATGTAACCCCAATTTTAGTAAACCACCATAAACTGAACTAATAGAACAAAATAAAGCGTAGCACTTACCTGTGAGGGAACCATCAATTGGTGCCACGGATCAACGGAGTGCAGCAGCAGTCATGAAGATGAAAACCCCAGTATTCAAACAAAATCAATGTGGATTTTGGGGAAAATCAAATCAAAATAGAGAAATATGGTAACTCTTATTACTCCTAGATTTAAATCAAAACAGAGAAATAAGAATGAAATTAGAAAAGAAAAGAGAGGAGGTCAGAGTAGCTGAGAGGTTAATGAAGCTGGTGAGGTCTTTGCGGCTAAGTAAAGCTACCCACGGTTGGCGGCACGACACTGTATCGGAGAGCGCCACCAGCTGTGGAGTTCGCGAACCGCTAAGATCAGAGCGAGGGAGACGTCGATTCGGCTAGGAGCGGCTCTACCTGTGGTGGAGCAGGTGCCAAATCGGTACAAAGGAGGCTGTCATCGCTCGCGCTAAGGGGTCAAGGAGGAGGAGAAGGAGAAAGGCAGCTGGTGCGGCTCACTGTTCCAAGTTCGCTACCGGGTTTGGCTTTTGTTGTGGCGGCTCCGTGTCCAGGCGTCGCTCTCGCTATCCCGGCTCGCAGATCTAGGAGGGACAGGGAGCGGAAGGGGAGCCGTCGTGGGCACATATGGAAGGGGAGTTCGGCGGAGGCGCCAAAGGCGAGGGCGAGCTGGAGCTCCGACCATTGCTCTCACCGTACCGCCTCACAGATCTTGGAGGGGAATGGGGACGGAGAGGGAGAGGAAGGGGTGCCGGCACGGATCGAAGGCGAGGGGGAGAAGACAACATACCTGACCCGTCGTGGAGCTCCAACGCAACGCTGCCGTCGCTGCCTCGCCGTCCTGGTTCCACGCACAATCGTACGATTGGCCGCCGCCGCCGGGGAAGAGGAAGAGGCGCTGAAGCGATCCACAAAGGATGCGGCATCCGCGTCCGTTGCCGCTGGGGGAGGATGCGCCGCAGCTGGGGCCTGGGGGAGAGGAGGCGCCGCAGAAAGTGCGGACAGATTGACGGAGGCAGCGAGGCGCGATGCCGCTCGAGGGGTTCCGCCGCTAGGGGAGAGGAAGCGCTGTAGCAGGAGCATGGGGAGAGAAGGCGCTAGAGAAAGCGTGGAGCTGACGGAGGCAGCGAGGCGAGACGCCGTAGCTCTCTTTTTTTTAATTACGGAAACAGACGAAGCAATCCGGAGAGGCCAAATCCATGCGTGGACACGCACGAATCCACGGGGCGGCACAAGATTGGCCAATCCACGTGGCGGCACAAGTTTGGCCAACAGTAGTTGAACAGTAGCCAAAGCTCTGTCCGTGAGCGGATCCTACGCGCTATATGAGGTAGCTTGGCCAATCCACGTGGCGGCACAAGTTTGGCCAACAGTAGTCGAATAGTAGCCAAAGCTCTGTCCGTGAGCGGATCCTACACGCTATATGAGGTAGCATATTGGCACAAATTTTTTACTGTGTTGTATTAAAGTAACTTGCTAGCCAGTGTTCTGTTCACCTCAATGCCCCTGCTAGGATATCCCCTATGACACCTATATGAATAGATTGGCCAGTGTGATGTCAAAAAGAGCATTTCTGTCAATGGTTTTACTTGGTTGCTTGACCTTTTACCACTCAGAACATTCTTGTGTGTATTGAAAAATTAGAGGACAATTTACTTTTTATCATTAAGAAATTTGTCATGTGCTAGAATTAGTAAAAAACTTACAAGGATGTGGGCTTTCCTTCTGTTTGAAAGCAATGACAGGTTAATCACTTGGTCCTGTGTGTCCTGTTCATCCGTGCCATGATTTTCAAATCTCGATTGTTGGAATATCATGTTTTTTGGTAGTAGCTTTATTCCCTGAAATGTTTCGCTGCTCTTAAGTCTAATCTTTCCATAGCCGAATTGCCTGTCTGACTAGCAAAATTTATCACAGCCTAACTTGTGTTATCTATGCTAGTTATTCATAGCTGTACTAGTTATTTATCTATACCCATCGTGTATCCCACCCGTTACATTTTGGTCTTCAGTTTTCTTATTCTCACTGTTTTGTGAATATTTACACAAAGGAAATGTTTATGAAGAAGATATTTGCAAAAATAATTCATCTGATCCCTCGAGTTCCTGATGGCAGGCAATATTTAGAGGCGCGATGAAAGGTAAACTGATAGTGTCTTGCCCCCTTCCTCCTGAGAGGATACCAAGGTTCCAGCTTCTTTTCAAGGACGTCTGAGGAAACCACAGCTCATCACTCGCACATGCTTGAACGTTGTCTTCAACATGGTATGGGAAGATAGACTGCCTGCACAACCAGCTACCAGCTCATGGATTGGTTTTCTTTCTTGCGCATATGGCGGATAGTCTACTCGAAGGATATGGAGCTGTTCGTGAACTTATGAAGTTCGAGAAGAATAACCAAGAGTTAGCACCCGAGTCAGTTCACAGAAATTCTCTCTTTGTTAGTAGGCTATTATCACATTCAAATATGATCTCTTGATGCAGCACATGCAATCCGCTTTTCCATTTTGTAACATGTAGTGTTAAAACACAATTGACCAACTATAAAATAGTGCCGGTTGTGTTGGTGTCTACAAGTCCAAGTCCCTAAGACTGTCTCCAACAGGTGATCTATAAGGGCACTCAGATACAAAATGGGTCTCCGACAGTAGTATATCAACCTCCAACAGAATACCTATATATGAGACTCATTTTGGGTGTTAGAAGAGATAAAATCTAAATCTAAGTATCCTCTCCTCGAGACCCATTCGCAGAAGGGTTCTCTTTTGAGTCTTATTGTTGGAGAAGATTAAAATTGGGTATCGAAATATTTACCTGTAGCGCTATCCAAATACGATATGGGTCTTGTATTTTGGGTTCCATTGTTGGAGATAGTCTAACTCATTGCCACTGTAAAACGTCACAAAACAGAACGTGATGATATAAGAGTATCTCAAAGAGACTCTTCATATCCTTCCTAAATGTTTGGAATAGAGACTAACCTCCAAAAGCTTCTCTAAATGGTCATCTAAATATAACCATCTTCTATTCTGAATTTTTCGCTAGTCAAATATAGAAGACGAGAATGGCTCTCTAGACTGCGCATGAGAAATAGAAAAATTATTGGAGAGTGAGAAGATATAGAAAACGATTTTTATACAAATAACTCTCCAAATAATGATTTTAGAGGGTGAAATTTAGAAAGATTGTTGGAGATGCTCTAATAAAGTTATTAATTACTAGTATATGTAACCCTGCCGTTGGGTTTAAAACATCGGAAATGAGTCTCTCATCTCCCATTCCTCTTCCTCCATTTCCCATTCCCCTCCAAACACGGGATAAGATTATCTCCTGTATTTCCCATTTCCCTGATCGGTTCCTTATAACTACGGGCAAAAATAATCGAGAACCGAACCGAAATAACCGGAACCGAAACCGAAGTAACCGAAACCAAAATATTCGGTCCCAGGTTCGGTTCCAGGTTCTAAAGAACCGAAATTACTACGATTATTTCAGTTCTGGTGCTCAGTTACCCAAAATAACCGAACTAAGTCTAAAGGCCCATAAGAATACGGCCCAACCCAATACAGAGGTACAATCCTAGGTATAAATTCCTACTCCCCTCACCCGCCGCCCTTCACATCCCACCCCGCCTGCCCCACGCCCCTAATCCCTCCTCACTCCCAAAGACGCTCCCCTCCAGCCCTCCTCGCTGCCCCCAATCCCGTCGCTCCCCACTCCCCTCCTCGCTGCTCCCAATCCCACCACTCCTCACTCCTCTCCTCGCTGCCCCCCAATCCCGCCACTCCCCACTCCCCTCCCCTGCCCGCGAAGGCGCGAAGGCTAGCCGCAGCGGCGGCGCATCACGCGGAGGCCGTGCTCCTCGGCTGCGAGTCACGCGGACACGGAGGCGAAGTGCTCGGGCGGCTTGGCCATGGCGCGTGAAAGGATCAAGATGCCGAAGAGGGGGAGTGAATTGGGCTAATTCTAAATTTCTTTGCAATAATTAAGTCCTATGGTTAGCCCAATTAACCCCTTGTGCCTAGAAAGTGTTTCTATTTGTTCTACCGCATAAAAGACTTGCAACCTAAGTTTCAATCCTACTCTAGCATGGCAATTCTATGAATATAAGACCAAGAATTGAATTGCTCAAAGTAAATGCTCAAAGTAAAGAGAGGAGATGAAACGCGGTGATATTTTACCGAGGTATCGAAGAGTCGCCACTCCCCACTAGTCCTCGTTGGAGCACCCGCACAAGGGTGTAGCTCCCTCTTGATCCGCGCAAGGATCAAGTGCTCTCTACGGGTTGATTCTTCGACACTCCGTCACGGTAAATCACCCACAACCGCTCACAACTTGAGTTGGCTCATCCACAAGCTCTCCGGATGATCACCAAGCTCCCAATCACCACCAAGCTGTCTAGGTGATGGTGATCACCAAGAGTAACAAGTACGAACTCTCACTTGACCACGACAAGCCTAATGAGAAGGGTGGATGCACACTTTGCTACTCTTGATCTCACTAATGAGAGCTCTCTTTGCGATTCTCAAATCTCAATCTCCTTATTAGGACCTTGCTCTTCTTGGCACTCTCAAACGTGTTTCTCAGCTGTTGGAATGAGTAAAAGTACCTCCATACACGAGTGGAGGTGGTATTTATAACATGAGCTGAAAAACGAACCGTTATGTGCCACTGCGGGGTGACGGGACGCTCCGATCATGTTGACCAGACGCTCCGGTTAGTATACCCCGAACTCCAGTGTTTACAGTGTGACCGGACGCTTGGCCAGCGTCCGGTCAGCACTGACCGGACGCGTCCGGTCGTGATTTTCTCTCTCTGGAACCTTACTGGAGTCGACCAGACGCTGCCTTTCAGCGTCCGGTCACATGACCTCTCAGCGTCCGGTCGCACCAAACGCATTCCACTTGGTCAAATGAACTGACCGGACTCTGAGCCAGCGTCCGGTCAGTATTTGACCCTCCATTCACTTCCAATTCTCGATCACGTGTGAATGAAATTTGCTCCATTGGATCAAAGGGCTATTTTGGAGCTACCTAGTGCTAATTTTAACAAGTATACACCACACCTAACTCACTAGACTCACCTAGGTCAAGCTAACCGTTCATACCCCCTTAATAGTACGGCCAAATGAAAAACAAAATCCTAAACTACTCTAAGTGTCTCTCCAACTCCAATCGACACTTAGAACTAGTCATCCTTAACATTGTCGTCCATCCTTTGAAAACCGAAACGATTTTCATAGTAGGGGCATGACCACCATGATTGCCCAATCGATCTCTATTACCATGACCTAACTTAATTATCTGTGCAAAACACACGTTAGTCATAGTAATCTTGTATTGTCATTAATCACCGAAACTCAACTAGGGGCCTAGATGCTTTCAGCGCGCCACAAGGAAGCGGGGGGCTCAGCGGCGGCGCATCACAACAAGGAAAGGGGCTCGACGACGACCCATCGTGCGGAGAACTGGTGCTCGGTGGCGAGCGGCAGAAGCCCAGAACTACTTTTTTCTCTAGATTAGTAAATCTGTGTCTGTGCTGAGAGGAATCTGTGTCTATGGTAAGAGGCTCGGTTACTTCGGTTATAACCGAAACCGAACCGAAATAATCGAAACCGAATTTCGTCGGTTCTTGTTTTATAAAGAACCGATTGGTCCCTGATTTTGTTCTAACCGAATTTGCTAAAAAACTGACGAACCAAACCGATCGGTTTCGGCTAACCGAATACACAGAGCGAGTTCCCTGTCCCACCCCACCTCTCATTCCCCTAATCCAAACGCCACCTCGGTGATGCTGATGCAGCAGAATCATCCTGATATCATTCTGCTACACCGCTTGGGTTGAGAGACGGAACGGTAAGAGCGACGGCCGACGGGAACTGGGAAGGCATGGCGATGGGGTTGGAGGGCGGCGACTACGGCGCCTTCATGGAGAAATTCGAGCTGCTGCCTTCGCAATCTCAGCAGCAGCTCCCGCTTCACGGCCTCACCTTTGCTATCAAAGACATGTGAGCAAGTGTCCCCTTCTCCTCCCCCGATAATTTGATCAAGTTTTCGTTTAGAATTTTATCCTCAATTGCTGAAGGCATGCTTATTTATTCTCTTCTTCTCCAGCTTCGACATCAGCGGCCGTGTCACTGGGTTCGGCAACCCGGACTGGGCGAGGACGCATGCCCCCGCCGGCGCCACCTCCCCCGTCGTCCTGGCGACGCTGGCCGCCGGCGCCATCAGCATCGGCAAGACCGTCATGGATGAGATGGCCTACAGGTGACGCCATGCCCATGCCTCCACCTGATACTCGTCTGACTTCGTTTGTAGCATCATATATATCTTGACTGCAATTGCATCAAGCTGACGAGGCCACTGACATTCACTTCAACTTTCACAGCATAAATGGGGAGAACGCGCACTACGGCACGCCGACTAATCCGTGCGCTCCCGATAGAGTTCCTGGAGGATCCTCAAGTGGATCAGCTGTTGCAGTTGGCGCAAAACTCGTCGACTTCGCTCTGGGTCAGCAGTCCCTGCACCAGCCCTTGTCCTGGTTCCTCTAAATTCCTGATTATATTCTCAACCACTGGCTAGCAGCAAATTGATTTGCCTATCATTTCATTCCCCCTTGTCTAATGTAGGCACTGACACTGGAGGTAGTGTGAGGGTACCTGCTGCCTATTGTGGCATATTTGGACTCAGGACTTCCCATGGATTGGTTTCGACAGAGAATGTCATTCCAATGTCACAGATGTTTGACACTGTTGGTGGGTAAATATTTCTCTCTCTTTTTCCCCTCGTAGATTCATCGCTTTCAACTTTCATGTCCTATTGCTGGCTGCTCCTGTATGAATTACGAAATTGAATCACACCTATTGTACTACTTTTTACTTATTTGGGAAATAAGTATGTTTTATTTGCTGTTGGTGTTAAGACTAATGCTGATATTCATATTGCATTTTACAGGGTGGTTTGCTAGAGATTTATCTACGTTATCTCGTGTAAGCAACGTGTTGTTGCCGATACCTGCTGACAACACTATCAAGCGACCAACTCATTTTACGATTCCTAAAGACTGTTTTGAAATCTTAGGCTCTTTGAATGACCACACATATCAGATTCTTAATGCATCAGTAGCTAAGAGATTTGGTAGTAAGTAATACTATGGACTCATAGCTTTAACCTTAATATTATGCTGCTTTCCCTAAAATATAAATCTTATCTGCTGTGGATGCCTTTATTGTCACAGATGATGCAGTAGACAATAGGAACCTTGGTGAGTTCGTCTCTAGCAATGTTCCGACTGTTGAGAAATTCATTAGCGACTTCTCCAGAAGCAAAGCACCATCTGTTCCTGCTCTATCTGTTATTTCATATGTCATGCGATGCCTCCAAAGGTTTCACTTACAACTTATTCAAACTATGTAGTAGCAGGTTAATAATACTAAATACTGTGTAATATTGACTATATAATTTATTATTCCCAAAATATTAAAATAAAAAGGTCATAAAGATATGCTTTCCCACGTTATTGTCCATAAAACACACTCTCCAATATCACAGTACGATATCCACATCTACACTTTGGAAGCATTCTTCTATCACTGGAGGGAGTAATTCATATAAATGGACCTGAAGTGGTATAGTTTGGCCTTGGCCAACAGTTTATAGATTGTTAATCAACATGAAGTTCTGCACTCAGCTCCTCGAGCTACCTATCTTGGATGAGGAAATTAAAACCTGAATATCCTTTTCAGGTCTGAATTCAAAGCTAACCATGCAGAGTGGGTCAACACTGTAAAGCCTAACCTAGGCCCTGGCATCCGAGAGCGGGTGTATGAAGCCATTGCATCAGAAGATGAACCCATGGAGGATTTTCATGTTCTGAAGACTGAATTCAAGTTGGCGCTATCTGCTCTTGTCAAGGTAACACAGGGAATTCCTCTGTACCAACTGCATTTGTAAATCAAAAACAAATGCATAATGTGTTGTTATTGGCTTGTCCCTCATCTGCAGGATGATGGGATCCTTGCGATACCGACAGTTCCTGGTTCTCCACCAAAGCTGCGCATGGAGGCTGTTGCATTAGAAAACTTCCGCGCAAGAGCATTTTCATTGCTGTCGATCGCCGGACTATCTGGGTTTTGCCAGGTATAAAGCTGCTGAACCTCGAATGGAATTCAGATACATTAATTAGTGTTGCTGTGTTAATTGGTATTTATGCTGGGCATGGGCTGCAGCTGAGCATTCCACTGGGAGTGCGCCATGGTGTTCCAGTGTCTGTCTCCCTAGTGGCATGCCATGGTGCGGACCATTTCCTCCTGAGTGTGGCTCAGGAGCTGTATGAGACGCTCAAAGAGGAGACCAAGAAAGCCTGGAGCTCACCAGACTCCTCTCTCTGAGCCATCAACCATGATTCATATGCAAAAAGTTCAGGTTCCATCGGTTCTCAGTCGCTCCGTGTCCTGCACGACTGCTTGTCGATCTAGTAGATATTGATTGGTGTGGTACAGGTGTACTCGACCCATTTGTACGGAAGAGAAAAATATGTTTTGCCACATAGGCACATACAGCGATTTGCTGCTTCTGTATGCATATGGTGTGATAAAGAGTATTTACTACAAATTCAGGCATGTTTGGAAATTGGATCTCTGGACTGGAAAATGACAGCAGAAAGTCCAAAATTCGTGTCATGGGAGTTTGTGTGTGGAGAATTTGTGCATAAAAGAAAATGGTACATAAAACTGCAATATCAATACATGTGTGAGAAATGGAGGAACTCAAAAGAAAATTTGTTCAGACTCTCGAGTTTAATATTTGGCTATCTCTCACGTACATGTAAAATAGCACATCGCGGAGGACTATCTGGTGTTCTGGCGCCCCTTCGTGGGGCGGAAGCAAATATGGTTCGTTTGGCAATTGTGATATGTGGATAACCATGGAAGGGAGAACTTGTTTGGTTGGTTTTGCTTCAGTCCATCTCAATACATTTTGATAGTATAAATTAGAGTATAGCTAAATATGAGGGTCTTGTTTGGATACGTATGTATTCATCTTAATCCACACGTGTTGAAGTAGAATTAAACTAAGTTTCATTCTATTCCACTCCAACACATGTAGGTTGAAGTGGATACACATCCAACCAAACAAGACCGAGAGGACTAGGTTATCCCTCTCATCACCCAATCCTCTTTCACCCATAGGATTCTTCCCCTATCCGGCCTTATTTGTTTTGTTCAACTCCCATGGTTTGGAGATGAAACGAACAAGACCTCACCCGGTGGATTTAATCTCCTGTTTATTCTTTTGAAGTTTAGTTTGGCTATTCTGAATACATGTGACATGTTGTTCATGATTGGTGACCTAATATAGCATAAACAATCCGTGTTTCATCAAATCTTTAACATTCGAAAAAAATAAAAAAAGGATCAATCCTAGAGAAACCAGAACCTGTACTTTTTTTTTTTGGATCGAGAACCTGTATTTCTTTGAGTCACCGCTGTGTACTTCTTTCAGTTCATCGCCGTGTCGATTAAGAGACAATCCTGCCCGTTCCTTGGTTCGCTATCGTCCATCGCGGCCGTACGTTGCTTTGACTACCCACAGCCCAGCCTCTCTCGCCGTCATTCCGACTGATGGGGCCCGCAGCCCAACCACCTGCACTTCGAGCGAGGCTCCGGCGGCCGCATAGAAACTCCCCGCTTCCGGCCCTAAACCCTCAACCCTAGCAGCGCCGCCCGTCATGTGGCGCCGCCTCCCCACCCGCCGCCTCGCTTCCGCCCTCCTCTCCTCCTCCCCACTCCAGCGCGCCGCCGCCACGCACGCTCCTCCTCTCGAGCGCCATCTCCCCACTACGGCCTCCGGTCTCGTTCCGCCGTCACGCTTGCCCCCGTGGCACCACGAGCCGCGGTGGTTCTCCTCCTCCTCCGCCGCGGAGGCTGTGTCCTCGGAGGATGCCGAGGAGCTGCACCACGCGATAGAGGAGATCGTCCGGGCGCAGCCGAGTCAGAATCTGCCTCAACCTCAGTCGGCGGCAGAGGAGCGGCAGGCACCCGGGCAGAAGCACCGTGGCCGGCATAGGAGAAGTGGGCGCGGGCGGCATGTGGAAGTGATGGCGGCGGAGCACGGGATGACGTACCACAGGTACACCTCCCTTCGCCGGCGGCAAATCCGCGTCGAGACGGAGGCGTGGGAGCAGGCCGCCAAGGAGTACCGTGAACTTCTCGCGGACATGTGCGAGCAGAAGCTCGCCCCCAACCTGCCCTACATCAAGTCGCTCTTTCTTGGTTGGTTCGAGCCGCTGCGGGACCAGATCGCCGCTGAGCAAGAGCTTGTGGCAGACCCCGGGTCCCGGGCCTCGCACGGCCCCTTTTTCAACATGCTCCCAGCGGACATGATGGCTGTCATCACCATGCACAAGCTCATGGGGTTGCTCATGATGGGCAGTGGGGACGGCAGTGTTCGAGTCATCCAGGCCGCGTGCCAGATTGGCGAGGCCATTGAGCACGAGGTGTGTGAATTGTTGCTTGGAGGGTGCTTCTTGACTCGGGGAATTGACGCTTCTTGTTGTTACTTGTTAGTAATGTGAAGTCCATGAACATCGGTGGAGGTTAATATAACGAATTTGTAGACCAAATAACTCTAAACGGGGAGCTAATAAGATATCTGTTCTTCTCTCAGTGAACTATTTTTCTTTCATCATGGAAGTAATCTATGGTTAGGCATTGCAAAGCAAAAAAAAAAGAGTAATATTATTTTAGTCAAAGAATGTTTATATCTGCCATAGATGAACTTTGTCAATCATAATTGACAGACAAGCCTCCCTTATTAAATATAAAATTTAACTTCTTGGAGTAATTTAAGGGTAGGAACTATTATTTTTATATTGATACGGCAGTAATTCAATGGTGCGTTTGGTAATCTGGCAATTTCATATTCTCTGTTTGAACCCAACCTGTTAAGTTTGTAGCAATTTTATTAATTTCATGTTCTCTGTCTGAACTCAGTCGTTTAAGTATGAATTTCTAACCAGTGCCCTATGTCTTTGAAGGTGCCATAAATATTATGTATTTCTCATATTTTTTACCTTGTTATTACATTTTATTTGGTTTGAATAAATTTATAGTTTGGTGTCAACTCTTTAACGCATAACCCATTTCAGTGACAATATTTTGTGTCATGGTATCAGATGCTAATAAACCATGGCATATTGTTTTTTTCATCTTTCACTAGGTTCGAATAAACAGATTTCTGGAGAAGACAAGGAAAAAAAGCAACAAAGAAATGGAAAAGGAAGAAGAAGCTGCTGGTGGCACAGACATTGCCAAAGAACAACAGCGTCTAAGAAAGAAAGTCACTGACCTAATGAAAAAGCAAAAGTTACGGCAAGTAAGGAAGATAGTGAAGAATCAAGATAATTCCAGGCCATGGGGTCAAGATGCTCAAGCAAAAGTCTGAATCTTATGTTAGATATTTGACTTTGTGTTGTTTTCCGCCCAGCGCCTATTTCGACTTTTGACATTTCCTATTATCCTTTGCTGTTCTACAGGTCGGTAGTCGTTTGATTGAGCTCTTTATGGAAACAGCACATATACAACCACCTGCAAGCCAGTCATCAGATGGTCTGCCTGACATCCGTCCTGCTTTCAGACACGAAATGAGAACAATGGCAAAAGAACAACAGTAATAGTGTTACCTTTCCTTCCTTTACTAAAAAATTGATTCTTGATGGTCCATCCATAGGTCATCTAAAAAATTTCTGCCATTGGATTAACTCCCAGGTTTTATTAGCTGGGAAACGCTTTGATTAGACAACTTCAGGGAAAAGCTGAAGGTTTATTTAATTGCATGTATACTTCCATGTGCTATTTATTAAACTATTTTGTCACTTTTTAGAAACTATATACATAGCATACATGTGCTGAAAGGCAATTAAAGATCATTATACATTAGGACATCCTGCAGCTAAATGCTGGCGATATGCTAATTTGAACTACTTCCCATGCAATTTCAGAGCTGTACTGACTATTTATTAAAATATTTCGTCACTTTTTAGAAACTATATACATAGCATACATGTGCTGAAAGGCAATTAAAGATCATTATACATTAGGACATCCTGCAGCTAAATGCTGGCGATATGCTAATTTGAACTACTTTGCATGCGATTTCAGAGCTGTACTGACAAATATATAGTCAGCTAAGTTGTAAAGATAACTAGCTTAATATTTTTTCCCCTAAATGTAGTTTGTTATTTTGCCTAACCTATATTATCATCTATTTTTAATTTAACAGGAAGAATAGTCGCAGATATGGTGTGATCAAGTGTGATCCACTGGTCCAGCAAGGCTTGGATAGAACAGTTAGTTGACCCTCTTACACAAATCTTGATTTATACTGGAATGCTTTTCTCCTAATTTTGCATTCCTTGGTTACCTGGGCATGTTCTCTTGAACAGGCAAAGCACATGGTCATTCCGTACATGCCTATGTTGATTCCCCCAATCTGTTGGACAGGGTCTGTATTTGTTGCCTATTTTCTTCATTGGTTGTCATATGATGCATCTTACAAATTGGACAGCACTTATGGTTTGGAACTTTGGCTTTTCTTCTGGTATTATTACTTACATAATGTAGCCACCTTTATATTAGTTCAGCGTCTGGTCCTTGTTTATACTAATAGATTCTGTTTGATCAGACTATTACTTTTATCACTTTGCATTTCTGGATAAGTATTGAAGTTATTCCTATATTTTTAGTAACATAATGCTTATAGTTTTTGCAATGTTAATCTGTCAACTAATTGTTTGGTACCCCTAAAACTTTTTACAGATATGACAAGGGAGCACACCTCTTTTTACCATCATATGTAATGCGCACCCATGGTGCTAGACAACAGAGGGAGGCTGTTAAAAGGGCTCCAAGGGAACAGATGCAATCTGTTTTTGAGGTAGCTCTTTTTTTTTTTGGTTTCTGACTTGTGCATATTTGATGAATAATCTTTTATAGCATACCTTCTTAAATTCTTTTATCTGTAACAACTATGGGATTTTGAGTCCACATCATGGGATGGTAGATTTGCGTGAACCATTTGGTACATTAAATTCAACAATTTATGCAAGAACATGTGTCTTACCGCCTGTGACCGGAAGGTCCCGGGTTCGAGTCGCAGTCTTCTCGCATTGCACGGGCGAGGGTAAGGCTTGCCACTGACACCCTTCCCCAGACCCCGCACAGAGCGGGAGCTCTCTGCATTGGGTACGCCCTTTATGCAAGAACATGTGTACCTCAAATTTCATTGCTTGATGTCCTGTTGGTTTCAGGCCTTGAATACTCTTGGGAGCACGAAGTGGAGAGTTAACAAAAGAGTTCTTAGCATTGTTGACAGAATATGGTCAAGTGGT